GTGTTTCATGCTGAAGGCTGCTTTCTTTTTTTTTTTTTTTTTTTTTTTTTTTTGTTTTTAATGGGCCCCAACTATGGGTGGCACCTTTAAGCCTTAACCACAACCCAGACTAATCCCCGCTCACACCGGGTCGGCCCGTAAGGGGTAAAGTGCTGGCCAAAGTGGTGACTCCATACGAGAGCAGGGATCGAACCCCTGACCTTCTCTTAAGGAATGAGAGTGCCGAACCACTCACACCAACCACCTTGGTTAAGGCTGCTTTCTTTCATTTATGAAAGACTACTCTTTTACTTTTAAAAATTAACAAAAAAACTTGTTGAAGATGATGACATATTAGTAAGCATATCAACAAATGGGATCCTCTTGAGGCTTGTAGCCCGATAAGGGATTGTCTTGAGGCTTGTAGCTCGAGTGGTTGATTAAAAGAAGTTATTTTGCAATAAGGATAATGAATTTGTTAATTGATCACGAGTTTTAGTTATAAACTTTCTTTTATTATGATATCAATATGATGAATTTTTATCTTTTTAGTATTTCCTTCTGACTTATGAGATTAGGTTAATAAAAGGCATATTTACGTACCAAGGAAAAAATAAATGCCCATTTAAGTTACAATTTATGGTTCGCTAAAAACAACTCATAATTTAATGCGTGTTTATTTGAAAATATTTATAAAAAAAATAGTTTTTTTTTAAATACAAGCGATAGTTTAAACTATTAGAGGAATGCGAGTTTTTCACACACACATACACACACTATTAAGGTGTCGTGGGATTCAAACATGAGATTATTGATGCCCAAATCAAAGCCTTTCCACCGGACTAGACCCTATTGATATAAAAAAAAAAAAAAAAAAATTTATTTATTTAGAGAGAAATCATAATTTGTTTATAAAGAAAAAATATATGTGCTATATTCAGTTACTCACACGCGTGAACAACTCACCTTAACAACACCAGAGGAATGCCCAACTTCTTTCTAGAACCCTAATGTCATCCAATCTAATGTTTCAGTAGGTGACTTCTGTGGCTGCGCAAAAAGATCAGTAAAATGAGAGGAAAGGAAACTATGAAGGAGAAATCATACAAAATAATACAAAAGTGAGTCCAACATTGAAAGGGCCATGCGCCGTTGGTGGGTCACCCACAAAAGCTATACATTGCCAACTTTTAGCCCTCTATCACTGCATGCGAAGACATGATTTTTTTTTTGTGTTTTTTGTTTGTTTATAAACATTTAAAATGAAATGTAATTACCCAAAAAAGGAAAGTGACAAAATGTGGGGCCCAAGCCTTAGAAAATATTTGTGAAGTTCTTTAGATTCTTTTAACTAAGGTGTAAAATATCAATGATTTCAGAAATATCGGTGGTTCAAAAATACGGAAATTTTGATGAAAATATTAGAAAACTTTCGATATCGGTAAAAATTGAGTAAAAATCACGAAAATTGTAAGAACAACTTGAAATTTTTTATTGAAACTTTTGAGGATGTTTATTTAGTTAATTATCTATTAGTTTATTATATACAAACAAATTGGAAGAAAATGCTTTGCATGATGAATTTAACTGATTTAAGTTGATTATATAGCGAGCTAACAAACATTGTGAGTGTAAAATATATGTAGTAATTAATGAAAGAAGATTAAACACACCATAATCATTTATTTATAATGATTTACTATAATATTCTACACTTTATACATTGCATGGTAAAATACATGAGTGACTTAGTACCATATAGAGTTCCTATAATGTTCAAAATTTTTATTGTCTTCGTCATCTCTATGTGTTGAGTAAGTGTATTGTGAAGAGTAGTTATCAAATGATAAATCCCTGAAATAGTTTTGCATATAGTTGTTAACATGTCACCCATATGGATTCAAGATTGGTTGACGTTGTCCATATTGCGATATTTTTAATATTTATAGATGTCCATATAGCGATATTTTTGATATTTATCGATATTATCGAGATATTTTTGATATTATCACGATATTTTGACAAAATATTATTGAAGCGTCTGAGAAATTATCGATGTCGATATTTTCTGATATTATCCTTCATATTATCGATAATTATACGATATGTGTATGGATATGTTCCAAAATATCATAGACTCGAAAAATTGATAATATCCTTTGATATTTCGTCGATATTATCGATATTTTACACCTTGCTTTTAACAATGATTTTTAAATTTGTTTAAATAAATAAAAAAATTTATTATATCATAAATTTTTTACTCTTAAATCATAATTATTTATTTGTATTTTTAGTATTGGCACTCATATCATAAGATTCTTGGGTCATTGATACTGAAGGAGAGACACATTATTACTACATTTTATTTATATTTATTATTTATCAAGATTGCTATTTTTGGTCTGGCCTTCATCAAGATTCAAGACCCAACATCTACAAACTAAATATCCAAAAAAAGAGTTGTAGGATCTTTGACCTTTATTGAAAATGGTTATCTTTCCTTACATGAGTATTTGAATTAAAAACCTATCCATCGTCTTTCTATTTATTTCATACTATTTGAGTCAAGTAAAGACTCATCTCTAGAAATGATTCAATTTACATTGGTAAAGCTCCGCATACAATAACCAATGAAGTGTTAGTTGGATTGGCCCAGGTCTTTGGTGTGCTGCCAAATAATCTTGGGTTCAAGCTTCTGTAATACCCATGTGTGTGGGTTTTCCCCTTCCTTTTTCCTAATTTTGATGCCAAAAAAAAAAAAAAAAAACCCGCTCCACATACAAAGTAAATTCAAAAGAAAGAAAATAGACCGCATCCATTGTGGTCCTGTGATTTGAAATTTTTGAATCACTCATTATTTTAGTTACCATTCAAGAACTATTGTTGTAAAAATCAGTTTACTTATAAAATATTTCGTAATTAATTTCATCAAAAGTATTTAAGTGGTTTTATCACAAGCATTGTATTCGTCCATGTATTTCAACTTCTTTTTTTATTTATTTTTTATTTTTTATATAATAATTACTTGAGCTTAATTAGATGACTGAATGATATTAATGAATACATGTATTGAAATTATTCCAAAGTTTGACTTCTTATGTGTTTATTAATACAAAAGGAATACAAAACATTACGTGAGTTTCACATTAAAATCCGTAATACTTGACCTAATTCCCCTCTGGCCAAGCTACCTTGATGCATGAATTCTCTCATTCTCAGTACATAAACATGCCTTTAATTTAGGTGGGTGTATTCAATTTGATTTTAAATTAAAAGAGTTATAAAGTTGATGGAGTTTAATTGAATTTAATTGAGTTTGACTGAATTCTAGAAACTCCACATAGATTTTGACTGAATTCGTATATAGATTTTAATTGAACTTGTTATAATTTTATTATTGATTTTAATAGAGTTTATAGTGATGACGGTGGTGGTGATGGGAATGGCGGTGCCAATGGTAGTTTGTAGGGAAGGTAGTGGTGGTGGTGGTGAAAGTGGTTGTTGTGGCGGTGGCAGTGGCAGTGATGGTGATGATGCTAGCAGTGGTTGTGCTGGTGGTGTCGGTGGGGCTAATAGTGGGGGTGGTAATGGTGGTGGCGATGGGAGTAATGGTGGTGGTGGTGGCAGTGATGATGATGATGCTGGTGGTAGTGGTGGCGACGGTGGGGGTGATGCTGGGGGCAGCGGTGAATGGTGGTGGTATTAGGGGTGGTGGTGGTGGTGGCGACGGCGGTGGCTATGTTGAGTCATGTAAGATGGTAGTAGTAGAAGTGGTGAAATCATATCTTGAGAATAAAAATAATATATCTATCAAAATCTCTAGGGAAAGCAAAGAATTGTCATGGCCTAAAATTAGTCTATTATCAAACGAAATCCATCACTTTTTGTATTCCCTTTAAAATCAATGAGTTTTTTTAATACATCCGAACTTTTATGAAGTCTGAATTAAACAGACTTCTATAAAATCATGATTGAATACACCTAAACTTTTAAACTTCTTTAGAATCTTTTAAAATCTATATTGAATACACCCTCCTTAATTGATTTCTCCCCTCCCCCCCCCCAATCAAATATCTCTTGACATAATAGTATTTCTTCCCAATATTAAGTGTTAAGTTTGAATATCACTTCTTCCGTTGATTAAAAATACACTTCGTGGTATTTACAAAAAAAATAATGTAAAAACAAAAAATAAATTGATCATGAAAAAGCATTCTTGGTGAACCTTCTAACAAGATCCTCAAAATTAAATTCCGGATAATCTCTTTTACCTATGCATACACTATTTCACATTTGATTGTATTTGTTTGAATCAATGCCATGGAAAGAATTGACTTGTAGATAGGTTGAAATTCCATGATACCTAAGTTATATGTGTGTGAGAAACTCCTCTCACCGTCGTAGTTTGTATTATCACTTGTATTAAAAAAAAATCATACTTAAATATTTTTTCGACTTTGGACAGAAAAATACCACTAGCAACAAATTTTTTAATATTTTAATATTTTATGAGGAACCAAAAAGTCAAAGAAAAGCATGTATAATTCTCTACCGACCAAAACACCCCCAATAGTTATTATCTCCACTCCACATTACAAAATAAAAAACAGAATACCAAAATAAATAAATAAACACAAATTAAAATTAAAATAAAGGACAAAAAAAAGTGTCAAATTGTAAGTTTGTTCCATCTCCCAACATGGCACGTGCAAAAATACAAAGAACAAAACATCATAAATACTCCCATAAATACGAATTCTCCCTCCATTCCCGGCTGACAAAATTATTAGTCAATTACTAGATAATTACAAAAAACCCCCGGCCCAGAGGGCGTTTTACAAATAATTACTCCCATTTACCACTCAACTACCGCCGGCAGATTCCGTCTTCAACGCTCTTCACCCGCCACGTGTCCCCGACACACTGGGCCCCACCGCCATCCGCATCTCACCAAGTCCAACTATAAGTACAAATCATTCTCTCTCATTCTCTATTTCTCTCTTTCTCTCTCTTCGCCTTCGCCTGTTTGCGATATTATTTATTTGTTAATTTAAAAGAGAGAGAAAAAGAAAAAAAGAATCTTTCGACAATTTCTGAGAATCCGTTACAGACAAGACGCTCCAGCTGCAGATCGGCTCACAGGGAGCTTGCTGACCGATCTTCCTACTGATCAACGGCGACACGAAACCAAAGGTACATTGCTCTTCACATTTCTTGCTGTGAGATAGCTTTGGAGATTCGGGGTTTGATTTTGGTGGTTTCTAGGGTTTCTGATGTAAATGCGAGTTTTTGACAGAGTGCATTTGCGTTGATGCGTGTGGCTGATCAGAGTGTAGAATGTCAGGCCCGCTGGATCGGTTCGCCAGGCCTTGTGAGTCGTTTTTCTCTCTCCTCTCTTTGCTTTTTTGTCGGCGATATGCTGCTGGTTTTGCTTCTTGGTGTGCTTGTTTCTTGCTACTGAATCTGTTAGGGTTTGTGTGCTCTTGAGGCACTGTGGTTGTGGATGTGTTCAGTTTGCTAAATTTGGGGGTTCCGTTTGGTTGCTGAGAAAACTCAGAAGATGAAGGAGCTTTGAATTTTGACTTTTTCTTTCCCCTTTTTGTGTGTGAGAAATGCTTGCTTGAGTATATGGCTGTTCTTTTTCTTGTGTCAAGATATCGACCTATAAAAATTTGTTGTTTTTCTAGTTTTCTTTTTAATGTTTTCCTTTTCTATTTTTACATTTTATCAGGGACCAAAACGAGCAGTCTTAGAGAAATGCGCTTTATGTTTAATTTGATGAATACTTAGGTTAAATTTGAAGTTTTAAAAGAAAGTTTCAATTTTTATGTGTAATTATGATTATGATGGTCATATTTGTATTCTCACATGTCCATGTTTTTCCAATGCATGACACCCCAGTTGTTAATGTCGATGCTATTGTTATTGTGCCACAGGTTTTGAAGGATTTTATGGTAGTGATGAGAGAAGAGAGAGGAAGTCTGACTTTGAGAACTCCGAGGATGAACGCAGGACTAGAATTGGGACTCTGAAGAAGAAGGCGATAAACGCATCTACCAAATTCAAACATTCTCTCAAGAAAAAGGGCAGTAGGAGAAAAAGTGATGGCCGAGTCAGCTCTGTTTCCATTGAAGATGTTCGTGATGCTGAAGAGCTGCAGGCTGTTGATGCCTTTCGACAAGCGCTAATTATGGACGAATTGCTGCCCGTGAAGCATGATGATTATCATATGATGTTGAGGTGCTTAGTTGTTTACCTTGCGTCTTCATGTAATCATGCATGCAAATACTTGTGGAAGTTCATAATTGGATAGATACTTGTGCCACTTGAGTGGTATCCTCACTTGATGTTAAGATGAATGGGTGACTCAAACTGACCCCCCAATCAACTCACACCCATGCTTTAGATCGATTGGGTTTAGTTTTAGTTTTCTAGGGAAATGGGCAATGGTAAAACGTAAAATGACAAAAGTAGAGGTGTAAGTCTCTTCTGATTCTGCTCCTTTGAGCTTTAGCTCACTCAAGCGTCACTTTGCCAATCATATAGGTGCTACCTAAATCCGGTTCATCTAAGATATAAGGTTTTCTGTTGTAGTTTATTGAAATATAGTTGCCAATTGTTATATTAATGTAGCATGCATGGTGTTAGAAGTCATATAATGTATTAGGATAGTTGGGAGTGTAGGTGGAAATAGTAAAGATTTCATATCATATAGCATGTTGGTAGATAAATGTGGATGGTTTATCGAGTAAACTTTGTTCATTGATTATGATTCTATTATCTTGGTCTTAAACCCATGCTGCTTTGGATGTGCTTTTAAAGTGTACTTGATTGTTTCTATACTTTTAATTTGGTTTATACCATCTCACATCTTTGTTTTGTTTTGTGTGATACGATTTGCCAGTTTTAAACATGAAGATTTTTACTTTCAGGTTCTTGAAAGCAAGGAAATTTGATGTTGAAAAAGCAAAGCATATGTGGGCTGATATGCTTCAATGGAGAAAGGAGTTCAGTGCCGACACTATTATGGAGGTAAATACAGCTGAAAGTTCATTTGAATTTGCAGGTTTTGGTACTTTTTTCTTTTTTCCTCATTCCATTTACCATGTTGATGTTTCTTTCAGGATTTTGAGTTTAAAGAGTTGAATGAAGTTCTAAAATATTACCCTCATGGGCATCATGGCGTGGATAAGGAGGGAAGACCGGTTTACATTGAAAGGTTGGGTAAAGTAGATCCCAACAAACTAATGCAGGTTACCACTATGGATCGGTATGTGAAATACCATGTTCAGGAGTTTGAGAAAAGCTTTGCAATAAAGTTTCCAGCTTGCACCATTGCTGCGAAGAGGCACATAGATTCAAGCACTACAATTTTAGATGTTCAAGGCGTGGTATGTTGCCTGTAATCAACCAATTAATATAATTAATCTGCGTATTCAGTGCAATCATAGTATCTAATGAATCTATATTTGTTCGCTTTAAATGTTTTTAGGGCTTCAAGAATTTTACAAAGTCTGCGCGAGATTTAATTACGCGGTTGCAGAATGTTGATGGTAACAATTACCCTGAGGTGTGCAATGTTATGTTTAAAACTTTAATTATGCAGTTGCAGACTGTCGATGCTACTTGTTATATATATTATAAATTAAAATTTAATATTCTTAATTGGTGCAGACCCTGTGGCAAATGTTCATCATTAACGCTGGTCCTGGATTTAGGCTTCTGTGGAACACTGTAAAGACTTTTCTCGATCCTAGAACAACATCAAAGATTCATGTATGTAGAAATTACTTTTCCTTGTATTGGAACTATAGCAATTAAAGTTTTGGTTTCACTGGCATGTCATGTATTTATAATCCCTGTTTTTTTTTTCTTTGTATGCAACATTTTAGGTTCTTGGAAACAAATACCAGAACAAGTTGCTTGAGATAATAGATGCCAGGTGAGGGGGCAGCAGTGTATCTGTCATCTGTAATGCTATAACCTTGCTATGTTTACACAGAGATTTAGTGTATTATTCTTGTTCTAACTGTGATGTGAATCAAGATTGTTGATCATGTGGAATCGTAGCTGAATCTGTGATATTTGATTGATAGGCAATAAAACATTGCAACCTCTGATTATTTTTGTCTTCTCTGATGATCATTATGTTTCCTATTGTTCATTTATAATTGCACTTAACTTGAGACTTAAAGATATTTCTTCAAAATATGCAGTGAGTTGCCAGAGTTTCTGGGCGGCAGCTGTACCTGTGCAGATCAGGGAGGTTGCCTTCGATCTGATAAGGGGCCATGGAAAAACCCTGAGATACTGAAGGTTATTTCCTGCCCTCTAGATTTCTTTTGTGCTGCAAATTCTGTTAACTTTTACCTGGTATGTTGCCAAATTTTATTGCAAGTTATATTTGTTTGTTTGTGATGTCATCTTCTCTTTGTTTCAGATGGTTCTTAATGGTGAAGCACGACGTGCAAGGCAAGTTGTTAAAGTTCTAAACAGTGAAGGGAAGGTTCTTGCTTATGCTAAGCCACACTATCCAATGGTAAAACTTCTGTACTTTTCACTTATTGCAGAATAAAAAGTGAGTTACTTTCGCATCAGTTTTTCACATTTTTTGGGGGATTATATATTGAAGCAGGTAAAGGGTAGTGATACATCCACTGCTGAGTCAGGATCTGAAGCGGAAGATATTGCATCCCCAAAAGCTTTGAAGAATTATTCACATCTTCGATTGACTCCTGTTCGTGAAGAGGTAGGTTTAACCTTTTCTTTATGTAATTATTATGATTAATATATTCATTTATGCCATTCGATGCTTATAACTTATTTTAACTGATTAATGGGAAAAAGGAACTTATTTTGTACAAGTATCTGGTTTGTCTCTTTAAGACTAGTTGAGAAGGAAGAAGAGAATGTGGATTACTTGGTGAGGTGGAAAATTTTGTCTTGTTCCGGGAAGAATGCAGGTCTAGGTGTGGGGCAATTTGGAAAGTGGAAATGTGGCTCTTCTAAGGAAGTGGTTGTGGTAATTCCCTTTGGCTTAGTATAAATAGAAACAATTAGGGTTCACCATTGAAAAGAATGTAGGCAGGAGGTGGTTTTCTCGTGGGATAAATTTTTTTGGGCTTCATTGTGGCTTCGGTTTCCTATGATGTGTGGGAAATTCCATTATTTGTTATTCCCCATTGTTACTTAGAGATTGTTTTAGCTGCTTTGTTATATTAGTTGGATGAGTTTGTAGCTGTTTGTCTTTTCAAAAAAAATTGTAGCTGTTTGTTAGTTTGATGTTAAGTTTTTGTTTGAACCTTTGGTGGATTGCTTGTTCAATGTTTTATTTGATAAGAAATATACTTTACTTAATAAAGAACAATACAATACAGTGGAGAAGTTGTCCACTGATCTAGCTAATAGATGCTAGCTAGACTACACAACGAAGATTGCAAAACAGAGCAAAGCGCTAAATAATTACATCGAAACTGATTCCTTGTTCAATGTTGTTTGTATACTTATTTTATTTATATATTCTTCTTTTTCTTATAAAAGGATACTAATTGAAATATGTTTGTGAGTGGAAGAATGAAAAATGGTGTATGTTTTGTGAATTGTCTGCATTGCATTATTTGGCAATGGCTGGGGTAGTGATAAGTAACCATTGATTAAGTGTGCTTGAATTGGTTGTGAATTAAGGGCTATTGGGTAGTTAAGATATGTAATGCTATTTAATTAACAAGTATAGACTGGAAACTTATTATTCTCTTTATTGTTGGTTGTACTCATTCTGAATTGTGTATTCTTTGATGTGGTATAATGAAATATGCAGGCTAAGGTCATTGGCAAGGCAAACTGTGCAGGTAGCTTCTCGGGTTATGATGAATATGTTCCTATGGTTGACAAAGCTGTTGATGCTGGTTGGAAAAAGCAAGTGGCCCTCCAGAGAATCCATGCTGCCAAAGGTCAGCAAGTCTAGCCTGATCTTTGCTGCCAATATAACATTTTTGAATTTATCTTATTGTTGTTATACGAACAACTATTAAAACTAAATAAATATTTTTAGGACTAAACAGCCTTAAAATGATGTTGAAATGGGAATTTATTTACTTTAATACTGATGTTGGTAGGTATATCTAGTACTGAATTTTTCGCATTATGTATATATTAGTGTAGATTTTGCATAACAACTTAGGAACCATGGATAGGAACACAGGAAACAGATGACATTAACTCGAAGAAAATGCCTATTTTTTACAAAAAGAAAAAAGGACCTGAGTACATGGAATACAGCAAAACTATAAATGAATCTGTGTACTTCAATACATACTATACCTTCTTCAGGAAATATTAGAAAGCACTCATCAGAATGCCATGGTCTTGATTCTTGAGTACCAAAAATTGATTTTCCTGAATTAGTTCATTACTGTTCGAACTGAGCAACCAGGCAACAACTATCCTGGTCTCTCAACAATTAGTTGAATGAGAGATTATAGATTTTTCAAGCTGCTAAGGATATTGCAACTTTTACTAAGCATATCCTTTACAGAAATGGGAAATCTGTTTTGGAATTTGACTCTAGCAAACTCATACTTTTTCACCTCATCATTTTGCATATTCTTGTTTTGAACTTGGGACATACCACTCCAATTCTTCCTTTACCTGTTGGCCAAGTCCAGATGCTAGATTATATGGTATTGAACTTATATAGTCACAACTAAATGCTTTGTAAAAGAACCCTTGCAATACTTAATAGTACGCCTTTTTCTTTTAGTCACAACTCATAGAGTCTCTTAACCTTTTTTCTTTTAATATTTTTTTTTGGTACCTGACATTATATAAATCAAGAAAATGAAATGATCTTTTTACTTCAGGGACACTTCAACAACCTGACATCCCCACAAATCCAGAAGGAATTCGAGGTCGGGTTTTGGTAGCACTTATGGCCTTCTTCCTGACTTTTCTCACTCTCTTCCGCTCAGTGGCTTCCCGAGTAACTAAGAAGCTTCCTAACGCATTGGATAATCACGATCAAAGTATTCCCAAACCTGCTTTTGATGCAACAAACAAAGAAGAGGGCCGTCCTCCTTCACCAACAGCACCATTTACAGGGGCAGATCTTCTACCCTCTGTACTGAAAAAGCTAGTGGAGCTTGAGGAGAAGGTTGACATGCTCCAAGCTAAACCGTCTGAGATGCCTTATGAGAAAGAGGAATTGCTGAATGCTGCTGTTTGTCGTGTGGATGCCTTGGAAGCAGAGTTAATTGCTACTAAAAAGGTATTAATGTTTTATTTGATGTGTAGGAATACTCAACACAATGGGAGCCTTCCACCTGTGAAATCATATTATGGCAGTTAACGTATTCAACTTTGGGTCACATTGCATTTTTATTTCTTTCCAGGAAAGAATGCAATCACATGCCTTATGCAACCACATTGCATTTTTATATAAATGGCTATGTTCAACTTTGGGGGTTTTTTTCTCCGGTTGTTACTGGACTTGTTTCAGCATTTCAGAATGATGCATATGTTGATTGTGTGTTTCATATGGAGCAGGCTCTACATGAAGCTTTAATGAGGCAAGAAGAGTTGTTGGCTTATATCGACCGGCAAGAAGAAGCCAAGCTCCAGGTAAGTTGACCGCACAGTCTATCCGTGTAGATTTATTCTTTTTGTTCATTTTCAATTTCCACAATTCATGAGTTCTAAGAACTTTTCTTGCTGCTGGTCATCAGAAAAAGAAGTTTTTGTGCTGGTAGAAGTGTTGCCTGATGGAGAGAGACTCTACCGAAAACGGGATTTGCTAAGCTGTTTCTCGAAGATG